AATAAACGTTGAAAAAAAAAAATTAAAAAAAAAAAGAAAAAAGAAAATAGTGTGGTATAAAAATGAATGTTTGATAGGACTGAAATGGGTCTAGGGTATGGATTTGAGTATTCTGCTATGGCAGACTTACTTTAAGAATGCGTAATTTATCATTTACTTGCAAATAATTTTATCCTGATATGTTTATAAAATATTTTGTTTCATTTTGTGTAATCAGTTCTACACTAAAATCAATGATTTTAATCTTGACTTTCAATACAGACTCATGAGAATTATGGTAACTATGTATTCTTCATTTAAATAGACTAGCTGTCAAGACTGATAGTACAAAGTGGCAAAATTGGACTCCATCTTTTTGGGCTAACTCCTTGTAAGAGAAAAAGTACCCCTTTTTAAAGATTCAGCCTTTTAAGGTTAGAATGGTCTCTGAAGATGATCTTTTCCAACCACTAAACTGATGTTTATATATAGTCTTTACTTTTGCTAAGTAGTTGACCAACTATGCTTAACCTATGCTTAAACATTTCTCTTTTTTTTTTTAATTTTTTTTTTTAACATTTATTTATTTTTGAGACAGAGAGGGAGAGAGAGCATGAACAGGGGAGGGTCAGAAAAAGAGGGAAATGCAGGATCTGAAACAGGCTCCAGGCTCTGAGCTGTCAGCACAGAGCCCGACCCGGGACTCGAACCCACGGACCGCGAGATCATGACCTGAGCCGAAGTCGGACGCTTAACCGACAGAGCCACCCAGGCGCCCCTAAACATTTCTCTTAAGGAAGAACTCTCTGAAGAGCCACAGATAGCGATTTAGAACACCTGCTCTGTGCCAGAAACTCTGCTATTGCTAAAGTTATAGCGTTGAACAAGGCAGACCTGGTCGCTGTCCTCATGGAACTTGTTGGTGTGGATACATGGTTTCAGGTGTGGACAGTCCAATATAAAATTGATGGGACTGTCACCTCACTGACTCCTAAAAGCCATGCTCATGTCAGAGAGCAAGTGCCTAGGACTATGTCTGTTTTCCTGATAGCCACGTCACCCTGTGGACGCCCAGTGATTTGGTAGATCCAGACGTCCTCTATTCTCTGGTCTTTATAGTGTTGGGTTTTTAGACCCAACCAGACTAAAAACAGATTTACCCAGAAGGATCTTTTGCAATCCAAAAAAAGCAGACTTCAAGAATTGGCAGACTTGGGGCGTCTGAGTGGCTCAGTCGGTTAAATGTCCAACTTTGGCTCAGGTCATGATCTCGCAGTTTGTGAGTTCGAGCCCCATGTCGGGCTCTGTGCTGACAGCTCGGAGCCTGGAGCCTGCTTGAGATTCTGTGTCTCCCTCTCTCTGCCCCCCGCCCCTCACTCTCTCAAATATAAAGAAACATTAACAAAAGTAAAAAAAAATTGGCAGACTTGACTGGGAAAAAAAAGTGTTTTTAATACAACAGAACCCAAGTACTGAATAAAAACTTTCCTTATGTTCTTTTTTTGTTTTTCTTCCTCACTGGATGACTATCTTAACATTTCTTCCTCTTACATATGTTGTTATTAGGTCCGTCAACTGGAATCAAACCTTCTTCCCCCTAAGCACCAAAAACATCTAAACTCATCAGGTACGGTGAGGCCTACAGAGCAAGAGAAGTTGAGCTTAAAGAGAGAGTGTGAACAGTTTCAAAAGGAACGATCACCTACTAATAGGAAGGTGAGTTTTGAGAGTTTATATGTGTCAACGTCCTTACTGTGATGTGTCCCTAAGTGTATGTTTCTTTCCCTGCATGCTTCCAAGGAAGTGATCACAATGGTATATTTTGGTTCTTCCTTATATGTATGTTTTTGTAATCTGGTCAAATAGTATTATAGTTCTTTATGATTGAGTGGTGGTTGCAAAGGAGCAGTTAACTTTAAGCATTCATAATGAAGATGGTTAATCATCTTTAGCAGTATTACAGCCCTTTTAATTTTTTTCTAGTATTTATTTACCTTTGAGAGACAGAGACCGAGCACACATGGCGAAGGGGCAGAGAGGGAGACATAGAACCCAAAGCAGGCTCCAGGCTCTGAGCTGTCAGCACAGAGCCCAATGTGTGTCAGCACAGAACCCATGAACCGCGAGATCATAACCTGAGCCATAGTCAGACGCTCAACCAACTGAGTGCCCCACAGCCCTTTTAAGTTAGCAAAATAGATATACCTTAAAATATATATATCCTGAATATCAGGAACATCTTCATATGGTCTGTGTTAGTTATCTATTGCTGTGCAACAAATTAAAAGAACAAACATTTGTTGTCTCCTTTTCTGTGGGCCGGGAATTCAGAAGCAGCTTAGCTGAGTGGTTCTGGCTCAGGGTCTCTCATGAGGTTGTGGTCCAGCTATCAGCTGGGACTACATTTATCTGAAGGCTTCACTGGTACTAGAAGATCCACGTCCAAGTTCAGTAATATTACAGGAAGAGGCTCTGTTTCTTGCTGGCTGATTACCAGAGGCCTCAGGTCCTCACCACCAGGGCCTTTTCTCAGGACATGGCAGTGAGTGAGAGGAGAGAGAGAGAGAAAAAAATTCCAAAAGATCACTATAAAAAGCTGTAGTGCCTTTTATAAGCTAATCCTTGGAAGGGACACACCATCATTTCTGCTGTCTTCAGTTGGTCACACAGACCAAGGGTGTGAACACCATGGGTGGACATCAGTAGGGACCATGTTGGAGGGGGGCTACCATGTGGTTAAGTCTCTAGAGCAACTTTTGCTTTCTGTACTTGGTTCCCTGAAGTAAGAGATCTAAGACCAGTGCTACCCTGGGAGTTCTTGTCCCTTGTTTTTCTTTCTTCCTTCTTCCCAACCAAAACTCAGAGTGGTCACTGTTACCTTTCTCTTCTGAAAATTATGGTTTGTGTAAAAATCTGGGAAGAATGATGAACAATCATTTGTTTCTGTCACAAAAATGTTATGAAAATTTTAAGTTTGTGAAAGTTATGACCATAGGTGGTAAGAAGACTGGTTTGTGCTCTAAAGCCAAAATGCCATTTAATTTTAGGTACATTCAAGTACATTTTTCAGAAAGATAAAGGGTTTCATCCAGCTGCTCACTGAGAGAAGAGTCTAATGATAGGTTTTACTTGAAAAGATTACTCTTCTGTTCAAAAATTCTTGCTACTCTCCTCAGCTGTTTTTGATAGAAACCAAAATCAGCCTTCTATAGAAGTGTCCTGTATTTCTACTTAGCAATATTCCGAATTCCTGGGTCAGGTAGCTCATTAGATTCTTCCTGCAATGGAGAATTCCAAAAATGGATACTCATAAAGTCTTCAAATTTAGTCTTTAAAATTGAGAAAGGAGTTATATAAAGCAGGTTTTATGTACTCTGTTTTAAACCCGACTTAAACTTTGCCTTAAGACCGTGTTTTCCCCACCGATCCATCGTGGAGGATCATGAAAGTGATGTAGTGAAAACTTCTACCTTTTTTATTAATAAAATGTGCTGGAAAATATCAGAGTACATGGTTCATGGTAAGGATAAGTATTTCATGAAATTTTCTTTCAGTGATATGTACTTATAACTGATGATGCGTATATATGTACTTATGGGTGTGAGTTTATGTCCTGGGTGTGTTTCTTACAGTGAGTGACACTACAGTTTGCAAGCCAGGTGCCTCACGGAATCTGTTCTATGTAAGCAGTGATGATCAAAAAGTAGACTAAATATAATTGATGCACTGAATCATAGTGCTGTTTTCCTTTGCTGAATGATCTTTGCTTTCTTCCAAGGGGTGAGATTTCTGACTAGCATGAATTTGTCAAAATAAAGAAGAGCAACTCAAGTGTTTGTTTGTAAAGGAAATTTTTGGGTTTTTTTTTTTTTTTTTTTTTTTTTTTTTTTTAGCAGGTCAGTCAGATGAATTCCCTTGAAAGAGAGTTAGAAACAATTCATTTGGAAAATGAAGGCCTGAAAAAGAAACAAGTAAAACTGGATGAGCAGCTAATGGAGGTGAGTTTTTAAGCAAAGGGCCTCAGCTCTGAAGAATATTTTAATCCACGAATGTGCCGTTTGTTGAGAGAGAGAAGCATAGCATGAATTCCTATTACAAGAAAAACTGGAAAAGTATGCTGCCAAGCTGAATTCTTTGGTCTGTCTTACCAAGTTTGATAGACATTTTTGCTCATTACAGTCACCGGAATTTACACTGCTTCACAGAGGAAGGAATAATGTGGGTAATCCTAAAATGCAAGGACCCATACCTCAACAAATTCAGGGGGCGGGGACTCTGATACTGGCTCAGAGCTCCCCACCACTGCTGTGATTGTAACGGTTTCCCTATACCTCCCGTGTCATACGTAGTGTTTTATAGATGGATTGCTAACAGCCTCTTGGGTTAGGAATTTGGGAATATCAGCATGTAGAAGTTTAATGTTCACGTGCTGTCATGGTTTATTACAAATTTGTAATTCAGCACTGCCTCGGGAGAGGTACATCTGTTAAATATAAAAATGGAGTTGTAAGACTTGTCAGCTCGGACATTGAGTATCCAGTCTACCAGATTGCTTTCTGATTACTAAGTACAATTACAGGATGTAAGACAACATCCGTACAGATCCTCTATAGTAAGTAAAAACTTCACAGAGATATTTTGCTTTGGGTAGATGAAAATATCACGTAGTGTACTACAAAATTTATCTCAGGTAGAGAGGCATGGGTAAAAAATGTCTTTGTGCTCTTAAAAACTACTACGAGTACAAATATCTTAAAAACAGATATTTTTTTGGATTTTAGGATTTTGGATTTTAGGATGAGAGAGATTTAAATATTTTCTTTTAAGAAATTGGACATGCCAAGGTAATTTTAAATGGATGATTTTTACGAAATCTGGCGAAATATGGGCAAATACGTCACACTGACATTTAAATGACCACTGAGGTTTCTGCCAATCCTATGTTCTCTGATTTATCCACTAATAGGGAGATTAAACTATAAATAGCATATAATAAGTGTGTTCAAAAGCCCAAGCTACAGGCTATGTTTAGATATAGACATGCTTTCTGATGAAATAATTATATATTGTGAGGAGTAAGATAGCTGAAGCTAAGCCCCACCTCTCTAGTACCAAATTGATAAGTAACAGGGTATATACTTAGGCAGTGGCAGATCCTCTCCGAATGTTCTGCTAACAGGCCAATTCTTCTCCCACCTGCTCGAGCCGTCCTCAGAAACCCCCATCTCTTCCTAAACCCCCTTGATATGATTAGCCATCATAAGCAATTTCCCTTCATTATTTTTCAGAATTTTTAAGATCAAGGAATTTCAGGAAAGCTTTCTAATCTGATGTAGGCACTCCCTTGAGGGAAGGCATCTCTCCTCATCTTTCTATGCCAGTTTAAAAGTCGCTGATGTAATACAATACATATCCATGCTCCAGGGCATGCTCCCACATCACTAGACTAGGAAATAGAAGAATCTGAGTCACAGTCTGGGGCTCTTTGAACTGCATGAGGCGGTGTTCTATAAACAGTTCATTTTGAACATTCAAAAAAGGGGTTCCAGTCCATATCAGCACTTCTCAAGTCCACTGGGTACCTCCGGTAGCCAACAGTTTTCAAACACTCAAACGAGAAAATTGCCATTTGGAGATGCAGAATATAAACTGTAAAACCAAGTATTTAACATCAGATCCACCCATGCTGGACCTGGAATCTTCTAAATAATTGTAGTGGGGTAGGTGGAGGAAAATGTGGTAAGTTCCCAAACTCACATTGCAGTTGCAGGATCAGAGTCATAAGATATTTTAAAGTTTATACACGGAGAAATGTAAATGTTGGTGTTTTTGTAAGTTCTTTCTGACTTGAGCACACCTATTCAGGTATATAATATACCCAGTTTTAACTGTTCTCTTTTTGTAACTCATACTTTTCTTCCTCTCTTTATGACTCCTGTAATTTTCTTTTGTTTTTGTTTTGTCTGTGGCTAACCTGTACCTAGAACTCTGTGGTTGGAACTAGCAGAGAAGGGTGCAGTTCTCTGCCTGAGATAGTGTGTGAAGGTAGAACATTCTCTTTCAATCAATTTCATAGCATGGAGACCTCTCATTAGACTCCCTGTTCATGTAATCATTTCTACTGACTGTAACAGTTAATACATATTTAGGTAAGAGCCAGTATTCATTTTCAGTTTGCTTTAACTGTGGCATATGTCTGTTTACATTTAGGCCAGGATTTTCCTCAGTATGTAAAGATATATGTGAAGAAACTCATCCTGCTGATAGAAAATTATGGGATCGTAACTCTCCCTATTCTTTATTCCTGAAAATAAAATGGTGGGTTTTCTAAATCTGTAACTAGAAATATTTCAAAACGGGTAATCTCCCACCTCAGAACTTTAGCTTGAAGGAAATGGATAGTGGCTCTGAAGTTTCATGGTAAATGTTTAGTTATAGTCGTGTCTTAGAGGGTCTATTTCCCCTCTCAGAAGCCTTGAGGTGCTTCTTCTTGAGTTTGGTACTTGGTCGTCTTCATTGCATGCCTTCTGTTGAGTCCTCAGTCCGCTGAATGTATTGACAGATGTGGAGTGCTATGCTTCACTGGCCACATGCAGTGTGCATTCTCCTTCCTTTTCCTCTCCCCAGCTTCGGCATGTGATACACACATCGTCTTACGGTCTTGAACAAGTATTTCTATATCACCCTCTGTCCCCGAATTGCTTATCTTACAGTGCCATTTAAGAGTTGAACATTGACAGAATAGGTTAAAATAATTTTGGATAGGAGTTTCTTTGACTCAGTTGCTAACCTGGAAAATAGTCATTGAACATTTGCTTTTAAGAGTCTTTATGAATGATAAGTAAAGTGGCAAAACCCTAAAGCTGAACCACTTTCTCCCCTTTGCTTACCCCAACTTGTGTCTTTATTTTTATTTTTTAATGCTTTTATTTTTGAGACAGAGAGAGAACATGAGCAGCGCAGAGAGGGAGACACAGAATCCAAAGCAGGCTCCAGGCTCTGAGCTGTCAGCACAGAGCCTGACGTGGGGCTCAAACTCATGGACTGTGAGATCATGACCTGAGCCAAAGTCGGATGCTTAACCGACTGAGCCACCCAGGTGCCCCGCTGTTTTCTTAAACAGGCATAATTAAAAGTTCTAGTGCCAGAAACAATGAAGTAGAATTCAGACACATGACTTATATCATGTAGCTCCATCGTGAGTGAGGAAGTACATCTTTTAAGTCTAAAACTTTTAAGAAATCCTACTTCTTAACTATATTGTCTCCTAAGGAAAATGACCCTTCCCATTATTCACCTCTTACTCAAGTCACGTACTGTCCTGTGTTCAAGTGATCAGTGGGTCTGAGAGGCCATTAATGAATTCATCAGCTTCGTTCCCTCTGCTTGACATTTGCAAGGGCAGCTCTGTGCTTGAAGGCACTGCGGCTGACCAGGGCTCCGCCTCTGTCCTCCAGATGCAGCACCTGAGGTCCACTGTGATGCTTAGCCCATCCCCTCCCACGTGGGATCTCCAGCTGCGCCAGCAGCAAGCCTGTCCGACGGTGCCCAGGGAGCAGTTTCTGCAGCTTCAACAGCAGCTGCTGCAGGCAGAAAGGATAAACCAGTGCCTGCAGGAGGAACTTGAAAACAGGACCTCCGAAACCAACACGCCGCAGGTACGAGGCTGTTTTCCCTCACAGTAAACTCAGATCACCTAATTTGACCGGTCTGTTGGGAAGTTCTACCCATTCAGAGGTGGAGATTAAGAACTTATGTGTCTGTTGAAGAGTCCCACCTTACCTGTGTTTACAGACCCACGGAACTGCAGTGTTGTTTGGGTTTGGTTTTTTGCAGTGATGCTTTTGAGCTCTCAGCTTCTAAGCTGGGTGCTGAAGTGTTCTGGGTCTCCTTTGCACATTCGTAATCCATGACGAAGGATCAGGATCACTTAAGCACAGTGTACAGCTGACCTAACAGTTTTTGACTTGACATTTGTCCGATGCCAGAAATATTACAGAATTCAAGTGCACCTCTAGGATACGCAGTACTAACACAGCCCCCTAGGTTTTCCTGTACCTGAGGGGTACAACCTGCTGAATTCCATAGAATTCACAAGTGGGGACTTTGTGGAGTCAGTGACATAAAGGAAAAATGTCAACTATGTTTTTTAAAATGATCTAGTTTCAAAAACTCTCAGAAAATCAACATCTTTTTCCCCTTCCCTTTGAGTTAGAATCATCCTAGCTTCTTACAGACACAATCTGATACAAGCTGGGTTTTCAAATAGTTCTTTTAAGTGCTTCATTCATAGTCCAGCTTTGCTTGTCGATTTTGTTTATTCAGAACCAATAAAATTAAAATTACTCCTTCATTTGTATAATTTTAAATGAATCCTTTCTGGTTTGGATGCTCATCTTCTGTCTCTCAGTGGACATTTAATAAGGAATTTCCCCAACTCCTTTTCCCTAATTGTCTCAAAGTGGCTTTGCAAAGTCAAATTAGCACTACAATTACACAGTGGAGCAGTTCTGTCTTCCTCTTCTCGTAGTATATATCTATGGTTTGTCATTATATCCTCTGTCATCTGCCCTTTCAAACAAAAGGTTACAATTAGTTTTGTCTTTTGTGCTTTAAAAATCCACGTTTTTGGAAGCTTCCTCTATTCCGCTTCAGTTTCCAAATATTAAAATTGTGTAGATGGGCTGTCGAAGATACTTCAGTAATTCATTACAGAATTGAGTTATAAAACCTTGACCTCAGTTTTTAACAGACATTGTATCCATTGCTTTCTCATTCACCCTGTTTTCAAAACATGTTCTTCCGACCCACCTGCCAACGTTTAAAAATAAAAAAATATCCTTTTACTCCAATTACTTCAGGATAAGATTAAAAAAACCTTAGCACAGTTTTTGCCTAATTTTTTTCTAATGTTTATTTTTGAGAGAGAGAGAGTATGAGCAGGGGAGGTACAGAGACAGAGGGAGACATAGACTCTGAAGCAGGTTCCAGGCTCTGAGCTGTCAGCACAGAGCCTGACGTGGGGCTTGAACTTACAGATTGCAAGATCATGATCTGAGCCAAAGTCGGACGCCCAACCAACTGAGCCACCTAGGCGCTGCAAAGACTGTTGAGGTTTTTGTACTAAAAAAAAAAAAAAACAAACTTTTTTCTCCAGCCAGATGGCAGAGTGGACTGCTTATTGCTGTCTCTAGAATACCACTGCAGGCTCTCCTGTTTCTGGCCCCTGAGCTGACACTAATTTTAAGATTACAGAACATTATTAGAATCTGCACGTCGCCTCTGTGTGTGATGTGGTTTCTTCTGCCTCTGTGTTGCTTTGCTTGCATTGTAGTGTTAATGTGTGTGCTTTTAAAGATCGTTTGCATTATAGATGTGTGAATTTAGACTCCTCCCCAAACACGATCCTGACATGGGGTGAAGTATACCACTTGCCTTCTTTCTCTAGGCCTTGCTACCGGAGCAGCGAGCAGTGCATGCAGATTCCTACAGAAGGATTGGGCACCTGTGAAAACTGGGCTGCTATTGATGACATTTCTTACCATGGCAGCTACTCAGATGCACATGCTACC